AGGAAGGGAAAGGGAAAGGAAAAGGAAGGGAAAGGGAAAGAAAGGGAAAGGAAGAGGAAGGGAAAGGAAGGAAGGGAAAGGAAGGAAGGGAAAGGAAGGAAGGAAGGAAGGAGCGAGCCGCACCTTTCATAAAACATCATAAAACCTAGAGAGCCTCACCTGACAGATGTGCGAGTTTGCCAATTATTACTGTTTGCTGTTTGGTTGTGAAGCTGGGTTAGTGTATGTCATACCAGCAATTACCAGCACCACCGAATGGGTTGTGGACCACCATGACTCATGACCATGTTGTTTTCACCCCACAATGCAACAACAACAACAACAACCTGTGCGTGGTGCTGGCAATAATTTAGGCTAGTTTCTCTTTTGTGCGTACTTGCGTGCCCTTGAAACCACTATAGGAGGTCTGGGTTCGCAGGTTTCATCCTTCTGGTTCATCCACACTGGGTGATGACTCACATGATTTGCAGGGAGTTCCGGACTCAGTTATTGACACTCTTGGTGTGTAAGTAATTTACTGCCATACGCTCACCAGATGCGCAACAACAACACAGGAATTTGATCGCGTATGCGCTGGAAAACTACCGCTTTGCGCTTTTGCTGAAGGCCGGAACCAGTCCGTTTGTTTCGTGTTCAGGAACTTGCTGGATGAAGGGATGCGCCGCCAGAAAAAGCGGCTGTTGGTGGTGTGGGCATTCTGTCTACTGCAGGGTGGTATGCCAATGTCATTTGGTGGTACGTCAAGCATCTTGCTTCCCACTGACGGTGAGAACCCGAACTTGTAGTACCAGTGGTTTGGGATTTCAGACGTTAATATAAATGATCGTATGTATGCAATTTGCAGAACTTGCAGTCCAGTGGTCTTGGAGTCTTTCGTCTTCAGGCTGACACGGACTCTTTCATCTTCATGGATCGTGTCCTCCGAACTTTGGAGCAGAAAAGTCTCTTCGAGCAGCAAGACCTCTATGCAGGCTGCCATCGTCCGGTCCGTCTTGAATCATTGCAGTCCAACACCTGGAAATGAGAGGCTCAGTATAGAGATTATAGAGAGGCCTCAAATCGACCAAATCCATAGTTTATCAGTTTCGGAAACGTGCTTTTTCAGAGGTTTGGGGTGAAAGGCAGGGTGTTTTTGGGACTAAGATGGCTGCCTCAGTCCATGCGATATATGTACTTTCATGGGCTGTCGGACGAGAGGCCTTCAAGGTCAGTTCTGTTGATTATCATAGGAGTTTGCTTGTTTCACAACCTGACACACACACACACACACACACATGCTCATGCTAAGTAGAAGGTCATGTGAAGGCCGGATGCCCCATTGATGCTTGGCTACTTGGCTCACTTGGTTCTTCGCCGCCCGGCGCCATCTCGGCCCCCTGGTTCTTCGCCGCGCGCCAGGTGGGCTCATCCGACGTGTGAAGCCCATCGAGCCTGGGCAGAAACGGGATGCGTATCCGCAGAGACGGGGTGGAGGTACTCCGCAGAGACGGTGGTATCCGCCAAAACCGGGTGGATGGCGGAGGATGGGCGATCTAAAACCAAACCTGAACCGTCCCTTGCAGGATCGGACGTAGAGTCAAGAGGCTGGGTTTTTGAGCGATGAGCAGGGCGTAAAAAGCAGGCCGCCCTGCGAACGACAGCGGTTTCCAAAAGGTTTCAATCGGATGCTACACTTAGAGCAACCTACAACTTCCCGTGACTGGCCTCACAGCTACTAGTACCGTGGACGCTCATGTGAATGCTACCAATGACCCACCTCTCCGGCCACGCTGCCTGCTTCCGAGGTGAATCTCAAGGACCGGCACGCCAAGTGGGCGGATTTGCACTACACGATGCTAGTTGGGATAAAGGTGTGTGGTTTTGTTTCTTTTGTATGGCGAGTCACAGGGTGCATGGGGTATGCCTTGTTGCGCCTTTAAGATCCTTGAAGTATGATTCTACGGTTGGTAAGTTCTTTATACTTAGAGCCTCGTTAGGCAATCAGTTCTTTCTAGCTTCGTTATTAGGTAGACAGAAGTTGATAGACTTTGTTGCCTGTTTTCACAAGCGTCAGAGTTTTTATGGCGAAGCTGCAGCCTCGAGGGCCAAGAATGCCGAGGCACAATCACAGCTGCATTTGGAGGCAAGACAAGAATAAAGAGTGTTTGGGAAACTAAATGTTTGAAATTGAGGTCGCTCACTCCCCCAAGAGCTATGATTCCTTTGTCCACCCAAGCCACTGATTGTAATACAATATACCAAGTACGGACGCCAAAGTGACGGGCAAGAACGCCTAAGTAACGGAAAAAGAAAACAACAACTTCTGAGTGATGAGAAGAACGCCTACCCAGAAAGATATTGAAGCAATGAAACATAGAAACACTAAGAATGTACAGGACGATGCCAAAGCGAAGCATCAAGATAAAACAATGTATACAATTACTTCAAGGCCCTGGTTGTAGGGTGTGCTTCATTACTATGGGAGTTCCTGAAACCAGAAGTGCGTGGATCCTTATTTAATTGAGCATTGCCTCCAAAAAGAACAAGAACACCTAAGCACACAGGCGCCTCTAACCATCATATAGGCGGAAATGTTTGCCCAAGGCCCAAGAAGAAGTTCTAGAGTATAGGATGTTCAATTTGTTTTGTAGAATTGATTTGGACTCGGACCACTACACAGCCTTTGCTTTTGGCGCTCAGATTTGGAACAAGTCAACATAGGTGAAAATGGTCAAATTGGTGTTAGAACAGATACGATATATTACAGTAGTATACGAGCCACAAAAAATCTGTAAATCACAACGGTCCACCTCAAAACCGATTCCGATAACCCTGTCACTTTTGAAGTATTATATAGTCAACAATATACAATGCTATTATGTATATGTAATGTAATGTGGCAATTTAGAATGACTTTGAACGATAAGTTCCACCTCAAACAAAAACGATCACATGAATCTATATAATTGCAGTATATATATATATACACATCAAATTCTTTGTGTCTCCAAGTATGTATATACATGCTATGACAATGGCACGAAGCGTGAGACTCTCGGGACTCAGGGCTGCAGCCAGGCTGCGTGTTCGCCAATCCAAGGAACCTCACTGGGCACAAGCGGTTTCCCCATTACGCAGGGGGCTTCGGGCCCCTTGGCGCAGGGGCTTCGGTGACCTCTCAAGCGTTTGCGTTGGGGGAGTTTCCGGAGTGTCCAAAAGACCCAGTCAATAAGCATGTGTCCCTCCTAAGATACTATGCTAGTCCCCATATCAATCTGATTTGCTGTGTATGATACTTTCAGGTGGTACTTCAAGTTGCATCCGGATGAAACAAAATGAACAGATGTCGCCTCACTTTGCCGAGGTATTTCCTCAGTCCTTCACTTTGCCGCTACATTGCCACGCACAAGACCTCACCCATGCTGCCGGAGCTCACTGCCTTGGCCAACGAGGACTGGGGATGGAGATGGGTGGAGAGGAAGGCTTGGCCAAGAGTGCTTCGAGACTTACATACCTTACATCGGGTTCGAATCCGAGTGATTGGATCAATGGATATCGGCGGTATGGGCACCGTTGACCCTTAGGCTTTCTTGAAGCCAACCTTTTGGGCAAATTTCCGGAACCCTTCCTTTCACAGAGCTGGTCCGCACAAGGAAAGTAGTCGGATTAAGTAGATGCAAAGACCAGACCGGATGGTATGGATCAGGGATCTCAAAACAGTTCTTTGCGCCTCTTTAGCTACATTGTGGTTGAAAAGGTTTGAAAAGGGCTCGCACTGACCATCCATGGGACTGGAATACTTACTCTCCGAATCTCCGAGCCAACATGGAAGTGGAAATGCACCATTGGGTCATGCAATCCACTTCCATGCTTGTTCCGGGGAGTGCTCCATGTTCATGACCCCATACAGTGGCTCAATGTGACCCATCCATGCAAGTAAGAACATATCCACTGACACTCCATGGATGGTCTCCTCCGAGATCTACCGACCAGACCACCTGACCTCCCTCTCCGACCTCCCACCTCCCTTCGGCTGACCTCTCGTGGTGGTAACCGAGGATGCTTCCGTGGGCTTTTGGCTGCAGCCGGTGCAGCATCAAGAGGTCATGCGGACGGGTGGAGCATCCGCAGTTGGACGGTTCCACACTAGCTGTTTAGCTATGGAGAGCTATCAGTAAGATGAATTCATCGCAGAAAACACCGGAAACAGGCATGTACCATAGGCTAGTTGGTGAAAGCTGTTTTCCCTGTGGAAGAATGATATCTTGTCGTTTGGTGAGGGTTCCTATTTAAGTTGCACTGGGGCCAACGCAGTCTCGAGGTTTTAAAGACTCCAAAGACTGCATTTGTTCAATTGTACCTTTTTCCTTGATACAAAGATCATCTGACTTTGGTTACTTAGTGACATCACACTGGTCGACCCTTGTGTTGACCGCTTTTGTGGCCTGAAAAAGAAGCTGGCAAGTATGTCGTGTTTGAGAGTCAGAGATCTATCTATCTATCTATCTATCTATCTATCTATCTATCTATACGTGCGCTTTAATTGTTTCGTCAGTGCATGGATGCTTCGACATTCGTGGGGGTTACTGGAGATGATGAAGCCCTGTGGCTCCAACCACTGAACGAAGGCTAGGCCTTGACCCTCCAAACTGAAAGCCTACCCAACTGTCTTCGGTATGTGGATCCCTAGGGAAGTTGTGAATTGAAGAGCATAAAGGGTTGTGAGGCTTCATCACGCACGATTCACCGTCATGCATGTCTTTTACCTGAGAACTGTTACCCTCAGATTCTTGCCTCTGAACAGCTGTTGCTTGCTTTGTTTGTTGAACCATGGAACCCCCAAACAAGAACTTCCCGCGACGGCGGGGCCGCTGTTTCCATCGGTGCCCCATTTCTTCGAGCTCTTCAGTCGGTCCGACACGTGGCATCCGTCGACCGGCGCCAGGTGTATTTGCCCGTTTCCAAGAATACCACCGGCTGCCACGACAGGCGGCCTTTTTCGCGACTTGGGCGCCAGTCGGCCCGACGCGGTCCGTGGTCCGTGCCCAGGGATGTGATGATTGACCACGAGATCTCGAAGGAAAGGATGCTGCACAGAGGGAAGAAGCTGATGAAGCAAGGACAGAGGCTTTTATTGGGGAGTTTTTGTTGGTGAGTGTGGTTCACATTTGTCACCTGCGGGCACAAGAAGGGCTGCATGGGAATTTCTTCAATTCCTGCAGTGTTGGAATGTTTGGACTCTTCAATGACCGGAGGTCCGGTTCAAAATGTTCAAAAGAGCAGCCTATCACATGGGTCTCCAACCTATACCGATGGCCTCCAACGCCATGTTTGCAAAATGATTTTGATAAAGCTGCAATAATGAAGGGGAGCTTGCCCGATCGGACCCCCCAACGGCGCACAATCCCCGGGGCATACAGGCCCCGCAGTGAGAGCCTGAGAGGCCCCCCGTAGTACAGGTTGAAGGCGTTTCAAGACTATTGAAGCTTCAATGAGTTTTGAAGACAGTTGAAGCTTCAATGAGCTTTGAAGGCGCTCGAAGATCAATGAGTCAATGAGCTTTGAAGGCATTTGAAGACCATTGAAGCTTCAATGAGT